GAGGGACTGGAGTTGTGTGCGGGGCTGAGTGAGGAGGGGCAGGGCTCGGGCTCTGGGCAGGGGGCCGACCTTGGCGGGAAGGGGAGGTCCCAGGGCTGCCTGGCGGAGGGCTCTCTGGTTACATGGGGTGTCGGGGCTACGGGCGGGTGCGCTGGGATGGGTCCAAGGATCGAAAGAGGACGATTAGAGGGCTCCTGGGTGCTGGGGTGGGGAGGTGGCCCGAGAACGGAGGTAACTAATGCAGGGAGGAAAATCGATTTCTGCTTGCAAAGAACTAAGGCAGAGAAGGAAGGGGTTTGAGATATCTTTAGAACTAAGGGAGCGATCAGGTGTGGGAATTGGGGTTATATTAATATGGAAGGTCGATAAACCCATGGAATTGGGGGGTGTGGAATATCCTTGGAAAGTGTTGACAGCGATCTTTATGGTTCCCATAGGTTGAGGTGGGGAGGGATTGTTTTGTTTTAGGTACAGATAAGTAGGCCAAAGTGAAGATGTGGGCAACCCTAGATGTAGTTGGGGAGAGAGAGAAGTGTGCCACGGAGAGGTGGTAGTCTGGGAATTTTGGGGTAACATACTGATGACTTCGGTGTTCTGGGTATCCCCATAGTCGTATGCTGATGAGAAGGATTATGAAGAAGAGGGGCTCTTTTTGCTTTCTTTGGGTACTGATGGAGCTTTTATATGCAAGACATTGGGAGTCCTGAGGAGGATAGAAACAGCAGGAGGGGAAAGGTTAAGCCATTGTGGAGGATAGGCTCTGGATATCCCTGGACAAGATCACAATATGTGGGGATCTTATTGCAAAAAGAAATTTGTATGAAATGGGGATCTGAAAGTTCCTGGAGTGGGTTAGGATGGATTTGGGTCTTTTCTCAAAAGAAGAAAGGTTGGTTTAGATTGATACTGTTAAGGGGGCTTCTGGGATGGGTTATGGTTGTAAGGTTGGCCTGGACCTTTATGCAAAAAAGGGTGGTGTTGGTTGATAGAAAAAAAAAAGGCCATATAGGCATCCCCAGATGGTGGCCTTAGGAAAAAGAGAGAGTTATGTCACTGTGAAAAGGGAATCCGGGTGATCAGAGGGGATTAGCATAGTATACTTGGTTTTCATGGAGAGAGAAGGTGATTGTTTGAGTACTCTGTTGGTACACGAGGAGGGTGGGAATAGTCTAGGTGTAAATGATTGGGCTTTTGTGGAGTTTGTTTTGGGTAAAGGGTGATGATACATGAGGTCTTTTATTATTATTTTTTTCCAGACAGGGTTTCTCTATGTAGGCCTGGCTGTCCTGGAACTCTGCTTCCTGATTAAAGATGTGTGACACCACTGCCCAGCCTAGAAGGTCTTGATGTGCTTAGTTTGAACCAGTTTTAAGAGTCTTTGAGTATCAGGAAGTGGTTAAGGTGGGGAAGAATGGAGATGGATTAAGCCATGAGAGAAAATTGGAGTTTGGGTGACTTGATGTGAGGAATCTGGGCTCTGTTGGTTTGCAGAGGTTGGGTGGTGGATGAGGGGGTGGGCTCAGACCACCAGTGCCTAAAATATTTGAGTAGGGGGTGTTGGTTTGTACACCAGCTTGAGTGGTCTGAGTGTAAAAAGTTTGTGAACCTACAGAAAAGAGCAGAGTCCATGTAGGAGTGCAGCTGGGAAACAGGCCAGGAGAAGGTGTGAGGATTCTGTGATAGGTAGGCAAAGGTGTGTATTGTCCCGTGCAATGGTGCATAGTCAGAGGAAGGTCTGTGTCACAGGGAGGCCAGTTCCCCTTTGGTTAACAGGGCCTTGGGAACCTGTTTTGAGGCATGGGAATGGAGAAGGTTGGATAGGTTACAGGATCTGGTGGATGGAGTTTGCTACAAGTTAATGGAGAGGGGAGACTTGGGGTAGAGTCTCCAGGAAAAGACCCCTGGGGAAATTCCTGTTGGCTGTTTCTCTTAGGGATACTTAGGAGGTGTTGGAGTGGAAAAATGTAATCAAGAAGTTGGAGGAGGCCGGGCGGTGGTGGTGCATGCCTTTAATCCCAGCACTCGAGAGGCAGAGCCAGGAGGATCTCTGAGTTCAAGGCCAGCCTGGGCTACAGAGTGAGTTTTAGGACAGGCTCCAAAGCTACACAGAGAAACCCTGTCTCAAAAAAAGAAGAAGAAGAAGTTGGAGGAGGAAATATATATCTGAGGCATTAGAATGTAGAGGTGATAAAGGGAAAGAATTGCCCTGGAGGATTGACTTGTGTTTCCACCCTCACTTTTCTTAGCCCAGGGCCTTGTTGCTGCCATGACTGAGGAGAGTGAGGAGACATTCCTGTATATTGAGCATCGCTATGTCTGCTCTGAGTGCAACCAGCTCTATGGATCCTTGGAGGAGGTACTTGTGCACCAGAACTCCCATGTGCCCCAGCAGCACTTTGAGCTGGTGGGCGTGGCTGACCCTGGAATCACGGTGGCCACAGATGCAGCGTCAGGTACAGGCCTATATCAGACCCTCATACAGGAGAGCCAGTACCAGTGTCTTGAGTGTGGGCAGCTGCTTCTGTCACCTAGCCAGCTCCTGGAGCACCAGGAGCTGCACCTGAAGATGATGGCCCCCCAGGAGGCAGTGCCAGCTGAGCCACCACCCAAGGTGCCCCCCTTAAACTCCAGCACCATTCATTACGAGTGTGTGGATTGTAAGGCTCTCTTTGCCAGCCAGGAACTGTGGCTGAACCATCGGCAGATGCATCTCAGGGCCACGCCCACCAAGGCTCCAGCCCCAGTTGTCTTGGGGTCCCCAGTTGTCTTAGGCCCGCCTGTGGGCCAGGCCCGAGTGGCTGTGGACCATTCATACCGGAAAGCAGAAGAAGGTGGAGAAGGGGCTGCTGTCCCATCTGCAGCTGCTGCCACTACTGAGATGGTGACAGAGGTGGAGTTGCTCCTCTACAAGTGCTCCGAGTGCTCCCAGCTCTTCCAGCTGCCGGCCGACTTTCTGGAGCACCAAGCCACCCACTTCCCTGCTGTCCCAGAGGCTGAGGAGCCTGCTGCAAAGCAGGAAACCCTGGTCCCCTCACCCACCGAGGTGCCAGTGTCTCTGCCGGAGCCCCTGCCAGCCTCGGACCATAGTTACGAGCTGCGCAATGGGGAGGCCATTGGACGGGATCGCCGGGGGCGGAAGCCCCGGAGGAACAACAATGGAGAGCCCGGCGGGTCAGCCACCCAGGAACTCTTTTGCTCAGCCTGTGATCAGCTCTTTCTCTCGCCCCACCAGCTGCAGCAGCACTTTCGGAGTCACCAGGAGGGTGTCTTCAAGTGTCCCCTGTGCAGTCGTGTCTTCCCCAGCCCTTCTGGTCTGGATCAGCACCTTGGTGACCACAGCAGTGAATCTCATTTCCTATGTGTAGACTGTGGCCTGGCCTACGGCACAGAAGCCCTTCTCTTGGCCCACCGGCGAGCCCATACTCCAAATCCTCTGCATTCGTGTCCCTGCGGGAAGACCTTTGTCAACCTTACCAAGTTCCTCTATCACCGGCGTACCCATGGGGCAGGAGGCGTCCCTTTGCCCCCAGCACCAGTTCTGCCAGAGGAACCTGCTGTTAGCGTTCCTGAGCCAGCCCCTGCAGAGACTAGAGAGCCAGAGGCCCCAGAGCCCCCCACAACTGAGGAGAATCCAGCAGAGCCTCCGGGGCCGGGCATTTACCGCTGCCTCCTGTGTAGCCGTGAGTTTGTCAAGGCCTTGCAGCTGACCCGGCACCAGCGTTTTGTGCACAGGCTGGAACGGCGCCATAAATGCAGCATTTGTGGCAAGATGTTCAAGAAGAAGTCTCACGTGCGGAACCATCTCCGCACACACACCGGGGAACGTCCCTTCTCCTGCCCTGACTGTTCCAAGCCCTTCAACTCACCTGCCAACCTGGCCCGCCACCGGCTCACCCACACAGGGGAACGACCCTACCGGTGTGGGGACTGTGGCAAGGCTTTCACTCAGAGCTCCACTCTGAGGCAGCATCGCCTGGTGCATGCCCAGCATTTCCCCTACCGCTGCCAGGAGTGTGGACTGCGTTTTCACCGCCCTTATCGTCTGCTCATGCACCGCTACCACCACACAGGCGAGTACCCCTACAAGTGTCGAGAGTGCCCCCGCTCCTTCTTGCTGCGCCGGCTGCTAGAGGTGCACCAGCTTGTGGTCCATGCTGGGCGCCAGCCCCACCACTGCCCATCCTGTGGGGCTGCCTTCCCCTCCTCACTGCGGCTTTATGAGCATCGCTGTGCAGCCGCCGCTGCCCAGGCCCCACGGCGCTTTGAGTGTGGGACCTGTGGCAAGAAAGTGGGCTCTGCTGCTCGGCTTCAGGCCCATGAAGCTGCCCATGCTGCTGCTGGTCCTGGAGAAGTCCTGGCTAAGGAGCCCCCGGCTCCCAGGGCCTCCCGGGCCACTCGCACACCAGTCACCCCCTCCCCAACAGCCCTCAGTGGTGCAGCCTCTGCTGCCCCTGCAGCCCCTGCCCGGCGGCGTGGCCTGGAATGCAGTGAGTGCAAGAAGCTGTTCAGCACGGAGACATCACTGCAGGTGCACCGACGGATCCACACAGGTGAGCGGCCGTACCCATGTCCAGACTGTGGCAAGGCCTTCCGCCAGAGTACCCATCTGAAAGACCACCGGCGCTTACACACCGGTGAGCGGCCCTTTGCCTGTGAAGTGTGTGGCAAGGCTTTTGCCATCTCCATGCGCCTGGCAGAACATCGCCGCATTCACACGGGTGAACGGCCCTACTCCTGCCCTGACTGTGGCAAGAGCTACCGCTCCTTCTCCAACCTCTGGAAGCACCGCAAGACTCACCAGCAGCAGCATCAGGCGGCAGTACGGCAGCAGCTGGCGGAGGCCGAGGCCGCTGTGGGCCTGGCCGTGATGGAGACCGCAGTGGAGGCCCTGCCCCTTGTGGAGGCCATTGAGATCTACCCCTTAGCAGAGGCTGAGGGGGTCCAGATCAGCGGCTGACTGGCCCCCTTTTTCCCCTGATGCTGAACACCTCAGACAGCCCCTTCAAACCTGTGTACATATTGTACCCCTCTTCTCTACCACCATATAAGTTCTGTAACTAAATTTATTCTCTTTTCTCTCTTCTGAGGGTGTTGCTCTGAGGTCCTTGATACATAAAGGACCCCTCCCCCTCTCCCCACCTTCCACCAATTTGGTGGTCTCAAAATGAAGCAGTCAATAAAGACTGAGTTGGACATTTATGTGCCTTTGTGAGGCCCGGGTATGTAGGGTGGATTTGGGGGATCATGAGGCCAGGCACTAGCTCTGACCTCCCTTGGCTGCATCTCCCTAGCACCCCAATAGAACTTGGCAGGTAGTAAGAGTTGGTACAGTTTGCTGCATTGAAGAGAAGGCAGCCAGAGTCCATGGCATGGTTCTTTGAAACAGACCTCTTGTGTCAATGAAGTCAGCATGTCTTGCCACTAGAGGTCTCCACAGCCTAAGGAAAATCTTGAAGCGATTTGGTTTGGTGGGGGTGTATGTGCTGGAACATTGAGAGAAACATTGATGCACTTCTCAGCCCTGGCTCTCCATTTCCTGCCTGATGTGATGTGATGAAAGCCAACTGGATTTCTCAAACTAGATCCCTGAGGGCAGGCAGACTTGGATCAGGTGTGATCGGGAACAGTGGCAGAGTGGGGAGCTCTTGGGACTTCACCCAGTACCAGAGTTGGAAGTTCTGAGTAATGGGGTCTAGAGTAGGAAGTGCCTTGGCTCCCAAGTTGTGGTGCAGTCAATAGACATTTATTGTAGGAAGGAAGGACAGAATGCCTGGTCAGGGTTCGGTTGTCTAGTGTGTCTTAAGTACTCTTCCCTGCCCCCACACCCCAAGGACTGGAGATTTGCTTGGATCTCCCACATGCTGGGCAAGCTCACTACCACCAAGCTATATCCTCATCTCTTTCAGTTTGAGACCAGGTTTTGCTGATTGCCCAGTTGGCATTGGCTCACTCTATGTCCTAGCAGACTCTGAGCCTGTGGTCCTCCTGATTCAGCCTCTTGAGTAGCTGGGGTTACAAGCCCATGCCCTTGGGTTATTTTGAGTAACATTTGTACTTAACCCTGTGGAGAGCATGTTTTACACTGGAGGCCTCTGGAGTGACTTGCTGAGGGTCAGTTCAGCCCAGGGCAGAGCTTGAATTTAAATCTGGTTTCATTTGGTTAAATATCCATATCCTGTTCTGTCTGTCCCCTGGCCTTTCCCAACAAGGAAGTGGAAGTGACTAGATGAGAGAGTGTATTTATTTGCCCCTCAACCTCCTCCTCCTCCAAGATTACTCCAGTTCCTTCTATTGGAAAGAACTCCTTTACTTAGAAGGACACGCTTGAGAGAGAAAAGGAACTTGGGGGCGGGGGAGACCTTAGACCCACCCATTGAGCATGCCTATTCTGTGGCTTGATCTGTTGCTCAGATGAAAAGAAAAGAGATGAGACTACACAGGACCAGGACCCAGGCCCACCCTCCCTTTTAGTTTTATGCCCTTGTCCTAATTATAATTTAGAAAAGGAAACACCTGTTACAACCTGGCAAGAGGGCCCAGCAGGGAAAATCGCTTGCCACACAAACCTTACAACCTTCATTTGATTCCCCAGAGCTCATAGTGGAACCAACTCCCAAGAGTTGCCCTTTGACCTCTACCTATGCACCATGGTCCGCATGCACCTGTTGGATATCCCTGACAGTTAAGAATACTGACATACAGTTGGTTTTCCACTCGAGTTTCTCAGTCATGGGCACCACCTTCAGTACCTTCCTGCCCTGCAGGAAAGACCTACTCCCCTGGAACAAAGGCACTGATGAACCAACCTCCCCTTTCAAAGATCTGGACTGTCGGTACAAAGAGTAAGATCCTTGATCCTCATGAAACCAGATGGAAAGCAGCTGAAACAGAAGGGACAGGGATAGAGGGAAAACAGGAGGATGCTGGTTGGCCACAGGATTAAGGTGTTTTCAGCAGAGATTAGCTCCTTGACAGTGGAGTGACCATCCTTCATTGCAATCTCCTCCCGCCTCCCCCCAAAAAGAAGCCAGGTGTGGTGGCGCACACCTTTAATCCCAGCACTTGAGAGGCAGAGGCAGGTGGATCTCTGTGAGTTGGAGGCCAGCCTGGTCTACAGAGCCAAGTTCCAGGACAGCCAGGGCTACACAGAGAAACCTTGTCTGGAAAAACAAAACAAAAATCTTAGAAAGGTGTTCCAGAGGACCCACGTTGGGTGGCTCTCAACTGCCTGTAAATCCAGCTCCAAGAGATAAGATGCCCTCTTGCATATGGGCATCCTCACTCACACACGTCATACACACTGCACATGTATACCTAAAAAAGACCTACCCTACCTAAAATTGGCCAACCCTCTGAGAACTTTGATGGCCTGTGAGCCTTAGTCCTAAAGAAAGATAATACCTATCTACTGGACAGACAGACGTTCCCAAACTCAGTGGACATTAGATGTCCCTCCCTAAGATGTGCACCCAGCTAGCACATCCAAGGTGAAATCCAGGAACCTGTACCGGGCTTTAATTCTGAAGTGATTTCAGAGGAGACCTCGGGCCCTTCTAAGAAAGGCTTGCCTTGCCTAATTCCGTGAGAAAGGACTGTTGTTGTGTATGGCCTAGGATCCCTCTCGCCTCAGCCTCGGAGTGCCAGAATCGCCAGCCTCTGGCACCACACCCAGCTGCATTACCTGCTTTATTTAGAAGTTGCAGAAGCAAATAGCCAAAGCAACAGAACACCGCCCCACTAGTGGGTTACAATAACTTGACAAGGCTAACAAGGGAGTGCATGTGGAGGAGCCTGCACGTTACCACCCTCCAGGAGATGGAGCATGGAGGCTTTGGAACCAGAGTGCTCTCAAGTCATGGGACAGTTGATGGTTCTGACTGCAACCCCTTGAAGGCTGGCGAATCTTCCGCAACCAACTGTTACTGACCTAAGAGAGAAAAGGTGCTTTTTTTCTTTTCTTTTCTTTTTTTTTTTTTTATAATGGAGATGGAACTCAGGGCCTTGCACATAGCTCATTTCTCCTGTCTTCAGCATTTCCTATTGAACTGCCCAGATGCCAGCACCTGTGTGCCAGACAGGATGCCACAAGAACAAAGGAGGGCCAGTGGTTCTGATTTTCAGTGGTAACATCTGGGAGTCACCCTAGCCCTGACCTGTGAAGTTGCTTCTGCAAATGTCTAGTTGAAGATGGCAGGGTAATTTGAGTTAATGTCCCTCAAAAGAGGTACATACATTGTATCAATCAGACTTCCAAGTCATTGTGTGTGTGTGTGTGTGTGTGTGTGTGTGTGTGTGTGTGTGTGTGTGTGTGTGTGTGTATGTGTCCATCTCCCAGGGGTATTGAAACCCATGACCTTGTACATACTAAGTGATTTACCACTGAGCCATATCCTCAGTCTTCTCCCTTTTTTTTTCTTATTATTATTTTATTTTATTTTACAATACTATTCGGTTCTACATAACAGCCACAGATTCCCTTGTTCTCCCCCTTCCTGTCCCCCTCCCCTTCCCCCCAGCCCACCCCCCATTCTCATCTCCTCCAGAGCAAGGCCTCCCCCAAGGACTGAGATCGACCTGATAGACTCAGTCCAGGCAGGTCCAGTCCCCTCCTCCCAGACTGAGCCAAGCGTCCCTGCATAAGTCCCAGGTTTCAAACAGCCAACTCATGCAATGAGCACAGGACTTGGTCCCACTGCCTAGTTGCCTCCCAAACTGATCAAGACAATCAACTGTCTCACCTATTCAGAGGACCTGATCCAGCTGGGGGCCCCTCAGCCATTGGTTCATAGTTCATGTGTTTCCCTTTGTTTGGCTATTTGTTCCTGTGCTTTATCCAACCTTGGTTTCAACAATTCTCGCTCATATAAACCCTCCTCTTTCTTGCTAATTAGACTCCCAGCGCTCCACCCCGGGCCTAGCCGTGGATGTCTGCATCCAGATTCCTCAGTCCTTGGATGGGGTTTGTCTTCTCCCTTTTTTGAGCCAAGGTCTTACTGTGTACCCAGATTGTTTCAAACTCAATCCTCCAGCCTCATGTATTCTTACTTAATTTTGATATAAAATCTTTTTTTTTTTTTTTTTTTTTTAAAGACAGGTTTCTTTGTAGTTTTGGTGCCTGTCCTGGATCTCACTCTGTAGACCAGACTGGCCTCGAACTCACAGAGATCCACCTGGCTCTGCCTCCCGAGTGCTGGGATTAAAGGTGTGTACCACCACCACCACCACCACCACCACCACCACCACCACCACCACCACCACCACCACCACCAATGCCTGACTAGACAAAATCTTAGCCCCGATTGGTCACTTACGTATACAAAAATGATCCTGAACTCTGTCTCTGCCTCCTGTGTGCTAGGATTAGAGGTCTGTGTCCCAACACTGGCTTGGATTTATCAAGAACATTTTTCTCCTTTTATTCTTGTGTGTTCATGTTGTATGTGCGTGTGGGAGCTTGAGGGCAACCTCATCTATTGTCCTCAGAAATGCTGTCCACCTCCTTTGAGGCAGGATTTCTCATTGCCCTGACCTGGAGCTCACCAGTTAGAATGGCTGGCCACCCTGCTCCCAGGGATCCACCTCTCTCCACCTTTGTAGTGCTGAGATTCCAAGGGTAGCAGCATTTTTACATGCATTCTAGGGCTCAAAAGACAAGCACTTCACTGACTGAATTCTCATTGTAACTCTTTTTTGTTTTTTCAAGGCAGAATTTTCTTTGTGTATCTTGAATATTATTTAAGAACCAGCCTTAATAATATTCTTCCCAGGGGCCCAGAAGAGAAACTATGAATGGCGAGAATTATTTTCAGGAAAAGAATCTAAGTACACCATGTTCTTTGTCCGTCCATTTTATTCCTCTGGGATAAAATCCTATCTACACAGCTTCAGTTCTGTTCTCATGCCTAGCTCCTTTCTTGCCTGATTGCTCTCTATATTTATGTACTGTCCCCTCTAAGTTCTATCTTAATTCTCTCATCTTAATTCTGCCTCATCTAGGTTCTTCTCATCTCATTCTTATCCATCTAGTACTTCCCCATCTGGCTTTCCCTCATCTTCCATCTCATCCTCAAATTCTGTACTCATAATCCTCCTTATACCTCTCAGTTCTCCGTCCTCAAGTTATCTAGGATATTCAGTTATAAACCCAAGCAATAGCAATCCTCCCCCTCCAGCCAGGTCACCAGGCTTGAATTCCTACA